TTATTTCAACTTCCGTAATACTCTCGTAATACATGAGCGAACGGATACTATCCACTGCACGTTGATAACTACTCTTGTTTCCTGATGTTGTTTACTGCTTCGGCACGTACATGTACATAATGCCCATTCGGCATCGGAAGCCTCCCCTGGATCCCATGCATATTGTGCGGGTAGATGTATAGAAAATCCCAGGGGTTTTCCCTCGCGTTATTATTCCTATGCATTACAGTCACATTGTGCGCCGCCCGTCCTACGCATGTATATTACAAAAATAGATCTTTTGACTTTAGATTTTTCCCATCACACTACATTATTGAGGAACCATAATATTTTATAACATTTCTCATTCAGATTTACAGATTTGTGTTTTAAATTCCGGTTCGTCCTGTGGAATCGGTTTTTACACTTTAAATGTTAATATTGTCTTTTAATTGTCACATAATTTCAACTGTTTTTCAATTGAAACAGTTCTAACGATCGCGCATTAATTTTGGTGATGAGCGTTTCGATTTCGCTTTCTCTTACACCGAACCCAGTGTGTCTTTTAGAAAATCAATTCAAATTTTATGACATATTTGCTCAGTTTCGTCAAGCTCCAATATGACATGCTGAAAAATGCACACTGGTTTGATTTCTTGTGAATTTATCCTTATTAATCATAACTGCTTAAATTTGTTTCCTTTAAATCAAGTTTTGAAAACATGTCAAACTCGAATAATTGACTTTTTGAATATTCGATCTTCACTTCAGTGGAATACATTGTACATTGTTTCAATAGGGTGGATTCTGATACACTGTTTGGAATATCAGCTGCTACCTTTCAAGTGTCTGGATTCTGCCAGAAACAAGCTTCTACAGTACAAATTTTCTCATTTACAAGAAAACTTTACCTTCTTTTTTTTATGAATTTTACATTCAAATATTTGAAATCGAAAAGTAATCGAATACTCGATAATGGATGGAATATTTGGAAATTTGCTACAGCCCTAATTCATTCAAGGCGCACACAAAATTAACAGGAGGAAAATATTGGTCTTTGAATGTTTTAAATGCATTGCTTTAATTTGTTCACCGTTTTTTTTGAGCTTTCACTTTTTAAACTATTAAATGACTATGTTTTGGGTCTCGTTAATATATATTTTCACCTACTAGAGTAGCTAGGCCATATTTTGTTTGTAAAAAGACTGATTGGCGGGGTGATGCCGACAGCAATTGTCTGTGGTTCCGTTTTTCTCCGTTAGACAACTCTCTGCATATATCATTTGATCTTGAGGACACAGGAGATGCTTAAGCACATGGTAATTGGTTTTGCAGACAAATTAATATGGCGACTAAAATTTCAAATTGATTGCTATAACAACGAATAAGAACTTGCAACTAAAATTTCAAAAACACGCCACTGAATGGAACTATGCACCACGTTTTTCAGTGAGCTGTAAAAAGAACATATACATGTACACTGAGCAGGTGCGATACGAGGAAATATAAACGAGTTACTACTTGGTTCGTGATTATCGGTGTACAAAAGCAATAGTAGAAGTGTTGAAAAGGATTGAAATATGCTTTCTAAAGGGATTCTGCGTTTTAAGTTTGTTTATTTGAGCTATGACCTTAAAAGCAAGGTGTAGTTCGGGTTTGAAACCAAATACTTTAAACAGTTGGACATTGTTATTCACTTGGAATGGGAATTTGACTTTAAGGTTTTTTTGCCGACTTCTGGAAGTGCAATGCTTTGAATTGAAACAAAAATTGCTGCATAAAATCTTCGCTGGGCGTATTTTTGTGAAGCCCCTTTTTTCCAAACTGTGATCAGTGGCTTGTTGACGGGGGCTCTCAACTCGCTGTTGGAACAAAATCCAATAGAATTCTTGGCAAGACGACAAAAAGGTCTTAAATGTTCCACTATGTAAACACATGAACAATTATTAATATACAAGGTGTAATAATAGCACTTTGGGTGCTAAAAACCTCCAGATTTACTCCCATACATCCCACAGTTCGAATTTGACCCCACCGAAATAGTATACGAGTTTGTGAACACTTCCTGTTACTCCCCAAGTGAAGGTTATGTGGATTCGCTGCTGTATTAGGGCCTTTAAGTTGCAGTCCATCACACGATCCAAGAACCACAAAACAATTTCGTTGATCTACTTTTCAGAAAATCTCCCCTTCCCCCCCCCAAAAAAGTCTCCAGTTTCTGGTCAGTGCGCGCCGTGCGTCGCTGTAGACCTGTGCCTTCGTGTCGGCAAAATAAAACAGTTTTTAATAAGGTATAATATACGATGTCCGAAAGCTGCCAAACTTGGTTGATAGACTGGAACCCCGCTGCTGCGTAATGTTAACGTCTTTTAGATGTGGCCCGATTGAGTAACATGTACAGTTTAGGAGTCCCTCTAGGCCTCATATATTAAAAGTCGGGCACTCTTTTTCAGATGACGTCAGTTCTGTATTATTGCCCACATTAGAAGCCTGTTGTTTGAATGAGAAGAACACTGAAAATATTGCCCCCAAAACAAGTTTTCAGTTCTTGTCATATTTTGTGGTCTTTTTATTGGTGCTAACTTGTTTATTCACACTTCTCATAGTAGCAAGGCCCTATGTCCTAAAGCACGTATGAGGGAAAAAAACGTGTCGCCGCACCATTTTTGGAGCCAGTCCCTGACCAGAGACTGGAAAGGTTTTGGGGCCTTTATGCACAAAAGCAAACGTAACTTTGCAAAGCATCAGCCAATTAAAAGCAACACACCACATCAAAACTTTGAAGCTTGTAACATTTTTGTTGTGCAAATAATTATTTCAGTGCTGGACAAAATTTCTTTGCTTAGTATGTATAGCCATGAATTTGGCTTCAGGTCGATGCGTCCCTTTAAGTACCGGTACAGTTGTTAACCACTGCAA